GGGCGCCGCCTTTAGGGTTCCCCCAAACCCTAGGCGCGCGGGCCCTAGGGGGGGAGGCGCCCAGCCCACTAAGGGGCTGGTCCCTCTCCACACACAACCCATAGGGCCCTCCGGGGCAGGTGGACCCTCCCGGTGGACCCCCGGAACCCCTTCGGTTGTCCCGGTACAATACCGGTAACCTCCCCGAATTATTCCGGTGACCGTATGATGACTTCCCATATATAAATCTTTACCTCCGAACCATTCCGGAACTCCTCGTGACGTCCGGGATCTCATCTGGGACTCCGAACAACAGTCGGTAACCACGCACATCTATTCCCTATAACCCTAGCATCATCGAATCTTAAGTGTGTAGACCCTACGGGCTCGGGAGTCATGCAGACATGGCCGAGACAACTCTTCGGTCAATAACCAACAGCGGGATCTGGATACCCATGTTGGCTCCCACATGCTCCACGATGATCTCATCGGATGAACCATGATGTCAAGGATTCAATCAATCCCGTATACAATTCCCTTTGTCTATCGGTACGATACTTGCCCGAGATTCAATCGTCGGTATCCCGATACCTTGTTCAATCTCGTTACCGGCAAGTCTCTTTACTCGTTCCGTAACACATCATCCCGTGATCAACTCCTTGGTCACATTGTGCACATTATGATGATGTCCTACCGAGTGGGCCCAGAGATACCTCTCAGTTACACGGAGTGACAAATCCCAGTCTCGATTCGTGCCAACCCAACAGACACTTTCGAAGATACCCGTAGTGCACCTTTATAGCCACCTAGTTACGTTGTGATGTTTGGCACACCCAAAGCACTCCTACGGTATCCGGGAGTTGCACAATCTCATGGTCTAAGGAAATGATACTTGACATTAGAAAAGCTTTAGCATACGAACTACACGATCTTGTGCTAGGCTTAGGATTGGGTCTTGTCCATCACATCATTCTCCTAATGATATGATCCCGTTATCAACGACATCCAATGTCCATGGTCAGAAAACCGTAACCATCTATTGATCAACGAGCTAGTCAACTAGAGGCTTACTAGGGACATGGTGTTGTCTATGTATCCACACATGTATCTAAGTTTCCTATCAATACAATTCTAGCATGGATAACAAACGATTATCATGAACAATGAAATATAATATAATAATAACTAATTTATTATTGCCTCTAGGGCATATTTCCAACACTCTTGCCCGAGAGAGAGATTTTCCGTGGGCGGTGGTTCCCTGCCTTCCCGGCGTCCCTCCCACGCAGGCCAGAGGTCTCTGACCCCCGATCGCCGGATAAGGGAGGGGAAAGAGGGGAGGTGATATCTCTATGGTGGTGGCCGCCATTGCCGCCCGAGAGGAAAACAAAACCCTAACGAGAGGGGAAGTTCTGCAGGTGTTTTAAGCGTATCTTAGAGCATCTCCAGCCGCGCCCCCAACAAGGCCCCCCAGGCGAGTTTTCGGCCGCCGACCCAACCCGACCCCGGCGTGCTGGGGGCACTCGGGGGCGCCGGGCGAATCTTTTTTGGCGCGAAAGAGCCGCGAGCCCTCCTTGCCAGCGACTCGTCTCGCTTCTCGCCGCTTCGTCGTCCTCATCGCCTCGTTTCCCGCGACGAATCAATGCCAAAGCTGTCGCGCGCTGTCGCGTCGGTCAGCCTCCGCCATTGATGCCTCACGAGCGGCGCAGTGAAAATGAAACGACACGCGTCCCCTTGCATGCCACGCGTACGCGCGGCGCCTCCACCTACATAAAGCCGACCCCAGCGCGCCGGTGGCACGCATAGAGTCTCCACCGCCGGCGCCACCTTTCTCCCCCTTCCTCCCTCTTCTCTCGCCGTCTATAGCTTAAAGAATGGCCGAACACTTCCCAAGCGACGGCGCGGCGGCGAACGGCTTCGGCCGCCGCCACCTTTACGAGAACGAAGCTCGGCTCCTCTTCGAGGCCGAGTACCCGGTCCCGCCGGACATGCGGGTGCCCGGGGCCTGGAGAATCAGCGCCGGCGGGGGCCCAGTGCCGCCACCGCCCACCGGGGCATCGCGACGCGCGGAGATCGCGCGTATCCGCTCCTCCTTGCTGCGGGCGGCGAGGAAGGGGCCACACTACGTCCCCGACAGCCTGCTCTGGGAGCCATACTTCCGCCGCCGCCACGCCGAGCAACTCGAGGCCACCAACGACGTCGTTCCCTTCGGCAGGCTCAACTCCGAGGGGAGGCGCCGATGGTGGGGCGTGCCCGGCCGCACGCTGGAGGCTGTCCTCGAGTACATCGAGGGCGGCAACACGCCGAGGCTGGAGTACCCCTCCCCCCGTCCTTCTCTCGCCATCGTGGGAGCTCATGGACGCCGAGGCGCATGGACCCCGGGGCGTCCTAATCCTCGTCAGGTCGGTCAACCGGCTCTCCCTGCCTCCGCCCCGTCAAGCCGGAGCCCCAAGACACGCCCCAGGAGACGCCTGTCAGCGCGCGCACCCGCAGCTCCGGCGTCCGCATCGACGACTCCGCCCCCGCCTCTGGCCGCCTCGTCCTTGTTAGACCGAAGCCGGAGCCCGGCCTCCCCGCGGAGTATGAGGAGATAGCCCGGCGCGGCTTCTCCGACGAGGACGCCCTACGGTGGGCGCGGGACGACTACCTCGGCGACGAGGTGGTCCAGCAGCGCCGGGCCTTGGAGGAGATAGCCGCCCGCAAACGTGGGTGCGAGGACGAGCACGACGTCGTGGGCCTCGACAGGGACGACGCCGACGCCCCCGGACCGTCCAACCCGCCGCGCCAACCGGGGGAGGGTTGCAGCAGGGACGGCGACCGCGGCGGGAGACGACGACGACGATGGCGACGACTACACGCGGTTCTACCGCCTCCTCGGCATTTAGATCTGCAAGGCGGCGGGCGGCGAGGAGCGGTGAGGGAGACGGCAAGGAGTAACCTAATAGCTTTTTTTTTCTTTTTGTAAAATATTTTAAATATGAACGAACTCGTCGAAGTTTGATTGAATTTACGCCGTGTTTGTGCCGTAATTTATATTTTCAGAAAAACGTGGGCACCGTGACTGGGGGACATTACGTACCCAGCGCGTCGTTTATCGCCGATGCGTCCCAGGAACGATTTTTAGCGCCTCCTAAGGGCCCAACGGCTGAAGATGCTCTTAATGGCCCAATGACGAGGAGCCGCTCCCGTGACCACACAACCCAATGTGCTACAACGTTCCACGGGCTGGCTCGTTTACTAAATGTGCCGCGCCTGGGCCAGGAAGCAAGGCACGTGGGCCAGCACGGCACGGCCCGTCTAATAAACATGTCTCTGTGGGCCGTGCCGTGCTGGCCTTTTGGCCAGCTCTGCTCCCACCGCTAAAAAAAAAGAGAAACCCACTGACTCCCGACTCCGACTCCCGTCCCCGATTCTCCTCCCGATCTCGCAGGCTCGCCGCCTGCCTCGCCGCACGCCGTCGCCGCCACCGGTTGCCAGGAGGCAAAGAGCCGGCCC